TTGACAGGTGAACTCGAAAGCTTCCATCGTAACTGTGCAACAAACAGCACAATCATAACGAACTCCTGCGAAACCTACAAGACGATTGTGCTCACTCGACACGTGTGCTCTTGCAACTGGTCGTATTGCAACGTTGTCAGCGACAGTGGTCACATGATCACTTCAACTTTCTGGCTCATTTTTGGACCATCATTAGCTTGCTTGGTTTACGCACTGTGAACTGTGAGATGAAGTACTTAATTATGTTATAGTGCTTAAGTCACAGAATGGAAATGGGAAATTTGCAAGGACATTTGGCATGATTATACTCCTAATGGCGGAAAGTTAGGGTGGTTTGGTCACAGTTAATTGAACTTTGGAAGAGCCGTACCTGTATTTTTATCTACCGAAATATCATTTGTGGGGGCATTTCCGTCGATATAAGGATTAATACCAATTTCGTTTTTACAGTTGCATTGCGTAGGTATATTGAGAAACAAGAAAAAAATCGCAGTTTGTTTAAGAAATTAAAGCATGGTATACCAATTGAAAGAACTCGATGTAAACCTTAATTGTCACCATCTAATAGATTTGCAGGAAAGTAAGCTCCCATGAACAAAAGAATTCAGTGAATGTGATGAAAACACAAAACAGCTCTTTTCTAATTGAGTACAACTCGTGTGTTCAAGTTAAATTAATTCAATTCTTGATATTGATTACTAAAAGCTCATGTAATTATCACAAGTTTTGTCTTTGTCTTCTTAACAGAATCATAGTTCCTGTTATAGGTTTTACCTAGTACATATATTTTACCAAAAAGCAATTTGTATGAAAGATCTATTAGCATTAATGTGAAACGAATAAGTGTAATGTTCTGTATTGCTTGGTAATGCATTGATGCAAGGTTTTCATATTTCTAATAAATACTGCATTATATGTTTTGTACACTTCAGCAGTGTTGTATGTTGCATATTGACATCAGAACGATAATTAATAGCAATACAATTGGATAGTTTACTGTACAACGTTTTGAGAGAGAGAGAGAGAGAGAGAGAGAGAGAGAGAGAGAGAGAGAGAGAGAGAGAGAGAGAGAGAGAGAGAGAGAGAGAGAGAGAGAGAGAGAGAGAGAGAGAGAGAGAGAGAGAGAGAGAGAGAGAGAGAGAGAGAATAATAAAGAGGGAATCATGATATTCACAAAAAAATGCTTGATGGTGTAAAGGTTGATAGCTGGATAGTTGGGCATGATCCTTTGTGAAATGTGATAGATTAATGAAAGCAAGGAGGGAGATCCCGAGGCAGCAGGCTTATTGAGTTGCTCCTGTATTGTGTTTTGAGTGTATCCTTCGTCGTTGCATTTTGTTGCAACTCTGTTCTAAGTATATGACAGGTTCTGAAAGGGGGTTGTAGGTGCATTATTTATGATCTGCCTGAGAATACTGGCTAATCCACGAGAGGAACACAAGGTCCAGAACTCTGAAAGGATCTCTGGAAAAACATGTCATGAGGGAGAAACAGAGTGAGAGAGGAAAAATGAAGATGAAGAAAGGGGAAAGGGAGGGACGCAGGAATGAAAAGAGAAAAAGGAAGGAGTGGGGATAAGGGAAGGGGAAGTGGAAAGAAAAAGAGAAAGGGAAGAAATAAGGATAGGGGAAGGAGAAAGAGAACTGGGAAGGAGTAGGGACAGGGGAAGGAGAAGGGAAAGTGAAAGAGAAAGAGGAAGGATAGGGGAAGGAAAAGTGAAAGAGAAAGAGGAAGGATAGGGTAAGGAAAAGAGAAAGGAGAAGGGGAATAGGAAGAGAAAGGAAAAGAAAAAAGGAGGAGTAGGGATAGGGGAAGAGGAAGAGGAAGGGAAAGAGAAAGGGAAAGGGAAGTGGAAGGGAAAGGTAAAGGGTGAGGAAATGGAAAGGGAATTTTTTACAAAGTAGACAAAGAGAGAGAGTGAATGAGTGAGTGAGTGAGTTAGTGTATGGGTGTTATATCTCATTGCCATATCCCATGCTAGTCATGTGAAATATGAAATTTTTGCATTGCACCAAAAGTAATAGATTATAAACAATTGCATGGATGTTTCATCCTGCAATGTATTTATTCAGTTTATGGACAAATCGATCATTCATTGCATATTACTAACACCAATGATCTATCATAAACTTTTTTGTGTATATAGTCCAATCTTTAGGCTAGCCAAAGATGCCTAAAAAGCAATAATGATGGATAACCAATATATTTTAAGTATTCTTGTCGTGATCACTGCCACATAAAATACAATTTTTTTCTCTGGAGAATTAGGTTGAAGTAAAAAAAAAAAAAAAAAAAAAGTCATTTCATGTTTTATACCAAATGTTTCTAATAATGAAAAGAATTGTTATGATCAGTTGCATTAATTAATTCAGGAAATACTGTATAACTTTGGGGTGATAAAACAATATTTTTATTACTAATAATAATCTAGTCTGTGCCACATTGCACTATTTTTTCATGTGAAATGGAGTCTGGCTACATGGAAAAGAATATATAGAAG